GGGGTTGGGGGAGGGGGGCAGGGTGAGGCTGTCTCTTTTCCAGTGGTTGACATGTTAATATGGTATTAAGTTGAGGTGAAAAATGATACTTTTCTTGCTGATCCTCATTTTTAAAAAGCTGGGAAAAGGGGCAATAAAGTGGCCTCCTGGCCCTCCGTTACTAATCTGTCGTCTCATGCCACAGAGGAAGATCCAGCTGGCGGTGCTGACTCAGGCTCACAATCAAAGCTCCAATGGCAGAGAGTTCTCTCCAGCCCCAATTTATGGACAGACATAACCCTCATCCTGCACTGAAGCGCGGGGTTCCAGTCTGCGTGCCTGCAGGTTAGCTGCAGAACTGGGCGTGGATGCCCCGCCGGACAGGCCCCGTGGGGTGTGGCCGCTCTCCGTCTACAGCTGTCACGTAGCTAAAATGTCCTTCCATACCCTTCAGTGTATGTTTAAGTTAGAGCAGGGACCACTGTCATATAAAGACGTCTCAGGCCGGTTATGTGCTTTGACAGGTGTGGAAAATGACCAGATTTCAATAAATGTTCAACAGTTACTTAACCTGTCTCCCAGTGCTCGTCCGATAGTGCAAATTATGGCTTCGTTGTGTGCGTTTCAAAGGTAAAGGAGCCTGGTGGGTGTTCGGTGGCTCCCATCCTACTGGGAAACTTCCTGGAGGCGGGCCAGCCAACCCCATGGAGGGCGAGGACACCCCCATTCCGCGTAGGTCACCTCTAGGGTCCGCCCAAGGACCCCTGAGCCCCATGAAGCCTTGCTGGCAGGACTGCACCGACAATCTGAGAAGGGGCCTCCCACCCAGCCCGGCAGGGACATCCCCGGCTGCACCCCGCCTTTCATGTGCCCGCGGTGCCAGGCTCATCCCACACGACATCTTAACCGAAAAAGACAACACAGAGCACGAAAGGAAGCATGCGAATAAGCAGAACCGGCAGCCCGTGAGCGCTGACACGCACAGCCTTCCAACCCCAGGGATGCGGCAGAGAATGGAAATAGGTCAGAACAGGCTATTCTTGTGGAACCAAGACCACTGCCAGGCCGGAAGAGTCCCTCCGTGGCTGGAGTGTGAGTCAATGCCGTGTGTGTGTTTTTCAAATAAGAATTTGTGATAGAAAACTGAAACGTGCACAGTCGATGACGTGCTAGAATACAGAAAGGAAAAAAACGTTCCTTTTACAGATGTGATTATAGCAGTTCGTTAGCTTCATTACTGCCCTCGCATATCAGATCAAGTGTCCTGGCTGCATGGTTTTTAATATGTAATTCTTTTATTATTCTGTAAAAGGTAACAAAATACACAGAACAAAACTTTCCCTTTTTTTTTAACTAAAGGTACAAACCCATATTATCGCTTATATATAAATACTATACTCTATAGCTGATCATTAATTAGGTGTGTAAGTCCAACAGTGTAGCCCTGGTAAAAAAAAAAAACCAACAAAAAACAAAAAATCAAGAAAAGTTTATCCAAGAGTGCAGTGTCCTCCTGTGTTGTTTCTCCTGAATGAGCCCAGGACTTTGTTGGCTGAAGACAGGACGGAGGAAATCACTGTGTGTGCACAGGTGTGTAAAGGAGTGCTTTTGACTGTTCTTAAAATAATGTTCACCCCTCAAAGAAACATAAATATACAAAGAGGCATCCTTCATAGAAATCAAGTACAAATCAATCAATTTGAGCTCATTTCAAATACAGAAAAAAAGTATGGCACAGAATATAAGCCACGATGTGGTTTTAATTATACTGAATCGCGCATCACACATGCCAGCATGGAGTTTGTCATCCAGACTTTACAGGCATCTTTCTTTAATTCGACCAGCCCTGCTCCAAGCATAAGACAGGAAGTGATTCGATAATAATAATAATAAAAATCAGGCCTGTTTGGCACTATGATACAGATGGGAAAAATAAACCAGGGAAGCTCCCACTGGTCCCAGCCCCAGAATATTCCCACTGAAATAACTACTCTCTTTTTAAAGGAACTGGAGTACGAAGAGGGGTCTAGACTTAGAGAACTACAAACACGAGTTTTAGAGTCTGAGCGTGACCCTGGGCGGAGCAGCAGAGCGCAGGCGCTGAGGCCCCGCCCGGCCCGCCCGGCCCCTTCCAGGCCAGGCCTTCACATGGCCTCGAACTCGTCGATGCGCTGCTTGGTGTTGCCCTGCCGGATCTGCCGCAGCGTCTTGTACTTGTCCCGGCCTTGCCTCATGTTCTCATTGTGGATGATGTCGTTGTGGGTCCTCTTGTTCTCGTCCCTGGCCTGGGACAGCTCATTGGACAGAGTCTGCAACACCAAGCGGCACCGGTCAGGCCCCACCCTTTCCACCCGCCTGGCGGCTCATTCCGTCGCCTTAACGGCCACCTGCTCCCGCATGAAGCTAAGGACATAGGGGAGCGCTAGGGCGGAGCCCCCGTAGCCCGTAGCCTGCCCCCGCCTCTCACCATCAGCTGCCGCTGCACACGCTCGTTCTTCTCGGCCTCGGTGATCCGCTTCTCCTCGTTGCGGTCGTCCAGGATGCCCTCACTGGACAGCTCGGCGCTGTAGCCCGAGTTCTCCGTGCCCTCGTCCTGCAGGTTGTCCTGGACGTGGTAGCCCACAGGCTCGTACGCGGGGGGCGGCGGCGGGGGTGCCGTCATCACCAGGTGCAGCTCCTCCTTGGTCTTCACCAGGTCATCCTGGGCTTCTCTGGCCTTCAGAGACAAACCAGCTGACAGGTGAGGGCTTCTCATGCAGAACCTCGTGTTGTGTTTGGGCCATGTTCAGAATCACCTCTTCTTTACGAAGGAGGCCCATTCTCCCCGCTAGGAAGGACTATGCCCCTCTGTTGTCCCCTCCTCCCCCTTTCCCGTGGCAGGCTGCATGTAGCACAGACCGGAAGAGGTGGTCACATGTGTCTGATCAGCGGTGTCCCCTGCAGGGTCTCACCAGCCTCTGAGGTCGGGGCCTCACAGTAGTTACCAGGCGTGCTCAGGGCACAAGAAACTGATGCCAGGGCCCTGATATTTTTCTAGTATCATAAAATTTGTTTCTCTCTATAATCCCAGTAAATGCTCATTGTACTTATTTTGGGGGGAGGGGGGAGGAAGGAAAAAAAATTTCCAGCCACTAGAAAGAACCGTGCTCACATTCTGGTGTGTGGTCTCACCCCACTTTCCTGGGTGGCTGTCCCGCTCAAGCACTGTCTTGCCCTTCATGCCTCATCCTTCCAGTAGCTTTCAGGGGTACGCACAACTCAACGCCACCCACCTCACGGCCACCCCGACCCCACAGACGGGCTTAGTTTGTCCTGTTTTGTAACCAGCTTTACTCAATACTTTATAATAAGCACTTTCTCCAAAAACCCAAGGACTGGATCTTTTGCAGGGAACTCCGGCTGGGGATGGGAGATGGGGGACAGGGGTGGGGTGGAGACCGGTGAGGGGGAGGTGCCTGGCGTCCCCAGAAGGGGTTGCTGCAGAGGGAAAGCATGGGACCCCGCCTCCCCACGCACACAGCTTGGCCGAGGTCTGTGCTCTGAACCACACCCAAAGCTTTCCGGGTGGACAGACAGGCCCTCTGGGTGGACGCTAGGGAGGAACACATCTCACTATCTCACTATCTCGGCTCCAGCTTGTTAAAGCTCTCCGCGGGGTCCTCAGGGTACGATTCCCCACCTGCAGTAAGGAATCCAGGCCACCTGCCCGGGTCACACAGCAAATGAGGGGCAGGGCTGGGACTCTCCCCGAGTTTGGAGACCTCCCCCGTCCAGATCTTTCCTCCGTGCCACGCTGCAGAGACCAGCGGTCAGGACCGGGCTTGTTCCAGGCCCTGTGGCCCGTTGCTGGGGGCACCCACATAAGCCGATTGAAAGCTGGTTCCTGACGGGGGCGGCCCGGTGGGGCTGAACACTTCGGGTTGGCCGGAGCAGAGCGGGACGAAGTGAACAGAGAGGTTCTTTGTTCTCTGCTCCCCCAGTAGTGCAGAGTGGCCACTGTGGCCAAGCCCATTCCCACGGGGATTTCTGTCTAGGACCTGCGACCAGGATCCGCAGGGCGCTGGGAACCGTCTCTCAGGCTTTCGATGCGACGTGCCAGCCTGGCCCAAGCCGCAGCCCCCGCCCGCCACGAGGGGGCGCCCCGCCCGCCACTCACCCTGTGCTGCCACTCCTCCACCTCGTCCTCCTTGCGCCTGCGCGCCTCCTCCAGGAGCGCGATCTTGGCGGTGTACTCCGCGAGCTCCGCGGCCTGCACGGAGCGAGCTGCAGTGAGTTCCCGACGCTTTCCAGAGTCCATTTGTGAACGGACGGCCTCCCTCGCAGCGCCGCATCCCTCACGCCTCCTCCCAGCGGGCAGAGTGTCCTTCGCCGGCCCCCAGCACGGCCCCTGCCCGCCCCTCCCCACCGGCCACGGGACAGCCCCAAGCAGATCAGTTTACAGCCCAGACAGAAATCATTGTTAAGGCAGGTGTCACTTTTTCGATCCCCGGAGGCTGCCTCTCCATAATTCAGCACCGTGAAACCCCGGGGACTCCTACCAGCTGCTCCTGGCTCTTTATCTGATCCACCGCCTGCTTCTCCAGCTCCTCCTTGGAGCGCAGCGCGGCCATGCGCTCGGCCTCCAGCCGCTCGGCCTCCTCCTGCGCGCGCTTCCTCTCCTCCTCCAGCTGCAGGGCCCGCTGAATCTGGTCGGACAGCTCTGAGGGGCACAGAACCACGGCCGCTCACGGCTCCGCCAGGCACTCGGAGGCCAGCCCGAAACGCCCAGCCCGGGGGATGGGCCGGGGTCACGGCCGGGCAGCATGGCAAATGTTACAGGGTAGTGGCCCGAGTTTCAGCGTGACAGGGCCTGCTGCGCTGACATTGCCAGGGGAGCACCCTGCTTCCCTCCCACTGTGTTTACAGGACACACGAAGGCTGGGCCTGGGTTCTAGTGTATGGCGGGGAGGGGACAGAGCCCGGTGCCCATAGTGGCCAGCTCTGAGACCTTGGAACGATCCACTCCTACAAGCGAAACCTTTACCATGCTCTTAAGGAAAATGGG